TCAATCCATATTCAAAGGAACCGTTTACTCAAATCTATTTCAATAACTCTATTATCAAGTTTTTTTTTTATTTTTTTTTTAATAAATAAGCCTTTATACATTCATCAGAGTCCTCATATCATTTAAGAAAAAGTGGTGAATATAAGTCTTTGAAACTAAATTTAGCATAATATAAAAAATAAGTTTAAATAAATTCCAAATTAGATAGGCTCATCGTTATTTAATGGAATCATTCGTAACGCGCGAATAACTTTATGGGTTAATTTGCTAATCTTGTAAAGCGATAGATAAGAAAACAGTACGCCCAGATATCAGCTCGAATCACGAATAGATTCATACCGGCAAATTACAGCAAAATCGCGTGTTCTCTCCCTCTCCTTGGAAAATAAAGAAAAAACAGAAAGGTCAGCAGCGCATTCGAAATTCGAGTGGCGCGAGCTGCTTGCCGATGTCCCTTTCGCTCTCGCATTCACGTATACGGTGCCATGCCTCGCAAACGAAACAAACAATATGTTAGCGACCCTCGACGATATTTCGAATTTGAATTTAAATAACTTGGCAGGATCGGCTCTGGGACTCTGGGACCACGCACGAACTCGTACCAACTCGTTCTTCTTTATCCCCCCCCCACCCTCCTTCCCGGCCCCTCTTCGCCGCTCGTTCACTCGTTCTTTCGCCCATCATACCCCCTATACCCCTACCCATGCGCCACCACAACCTCTCGTTCACTCGCTCTTTCTTCGCCTTCCCGCACGTACCTTTCTCCTCATACTTTCTCCTTCTCTTTCTCCATCAAATTCCCACAACTTTCATTCTTCGCCTACTACGGGATGTCCCCTCTATCTCACTTTATATTTCTCACTCGATTTTTCTTCTTCGCTTTTCTTCTATTTTGCCATCGTACGGTGCGGTAACGCACACGTAGTGCTTTCTTCTCTCTTCTACGTCGATGTGTGTTCTAGCCTCATTTGGCGAGACTGCCCATGGAATAGCAAGAGAGGAGTCTCGAGCAACGCCATAATGCTATTCCGATATATTTTTTTTAAATGTAGATTTTTCTGAATTATCCAGCGATTTCATTGAACGATAGTAATTTTAAATGCAAAATAGTTTCAATAATGATTGATATATTTTCAACAAGACATCTGCACCATTAGTCACTGGAATTTTTATCAAAATCATAATGTCGCTTAAAACTGCCAAGTCGTGAAGTTTCGCGCACTCGGCGCTTCTGTAGTGCTAATGAAGAAATTTATTGCATGTGCTAATATCGCGAAATGATAACGACTAAAGAAACGTATAACCAGCCATGCAATCGTACGAAATCGTTGATAAGACTATCGACATTTGAGCAACTACAAAAGTATAATTAATTAACATTCACCTTTTAATATTTTTTGAAATTTTTAACGTGTTACTTCGCTACTACGTTTTCCATAAACATTGATTTTTATTATTAAATTTTTTCCAATCGAATCATTAAAATTTCAATTCTAGTAGAGGAATTATTATTATTTTTTTATTTTTTTTTTACTAAAATTCATATTATTGTTTAATATATGTAGCGTTTGTGGAAGTAATTCAGTACTTATGCTTCCATAATTCTATAATAATCAATAATTCTCTAATAAGTCCATAAATCGCCGACTATGAGATTAATTTAATCATATCACTAATATCATTTTTCATTTTTCAATCTCTCGTATTGATATTATAAATACTCGATTTAAATTATGTTCAAGAAACTTGATCCATAATATATTAGGATTTATAATAATTCTACTTGATCACATATAAGATTTCTAAAAAGTGATTTAGATTTCGAGATAAAGTATAGAGTCGTAAATATACAAATATGTGAATGTATAAAGTTAAAAATCGATTATGTAATCGCGATGATAAATGCATATTTTATACATTTGTAATTAGTCTAATGAATAATTTCAATTTACATTTCATTTTCAATCATTGCCTAATATGAAAAAGTTATAAATAATGTTTATGTTAATATAAAAATATGATTACAATCAAAATCAATAGATCAATAGATATTTTAATCATTAGATTTTAATCATTTAATAATAATTAAGATAACCTAAGCTTCGTATGATAATTATATTGGTTTAAATTTATGAAATTAATAAATTTACTGAAAAATTATATCCTTCAGCATATTATATCTTTTCAAACTCAGCCAAAGTTAAGCAATCAATACGAAAAAACATTCGATGTAATTTGTTTATAAATATTGTTGGGCAATATTATTTAAAAGCTCAAAAAAAAAAAAAAAAAAAAAAACTGAGAATTAAATCCTAATTCTCATAAACTTAAATTTTCGTATTTTGCCAGTTATACTTTTTATACTTTATTATTGATGGTAAATTTGAAAGGCGAATGAATCATCATGACATATCTTGAATATAAAACACTGAAGGATTAATCAAATTTGTTCTTTTGACTAACTTAACTAATTCTATATGACAACATGCTTTTGAATGGAATGATAATGATTTGATCCAATTTTAACAATTAATTGTAAGATTAAAAGGAAAAAATTAAATTTACATTCTGTAAAATTTAGGCATAATATCATTATTATAACGAAAATTGTCATAAAATACGAAAAGAATATCGATTTTACGTGTTAATTATTATATGAATTTATTACACTAGTTATAAAATATTATTAGATACATGTGACTTATTATACATATAAAATAAATTCAATATTTAAATAAAATGAGCATATTGTAGAATGAATACTTTTTAAATTTTTTCTTTGAACAAGCTATTAAAAGTCTGATAATTTCGGCATGTAAATGTTCATTTACAAAATTCAATATATATCTTTATAAATACGTACTTCAAATATTGTTTTTCATAATCTTTACACACTCGTATGTATTGTGTTTACAATGATCTTACAACTAGGCTTAAGTGACGTTCTCCCAAATATAGTTCACCTTTCCAAATAGAGTTAGTAAGGTGATAAATCCCCAAGAGAATTAAATGGGTTGTACAGCTCATAGAGATCAAGTTAGAGTTTTCGTAGATATATTTTTTGCATTATATAACATTAATTCCATGTAACTTAGGAAGACTAGATTTATTAGGGAAAAAAAACATGTTTTCACTTATATAATCATGCAATACCATAATGAAATTAATCATTTTTACAACACATTCTTACTATTGTCAGAATGCGAAAGGTACATATAATACATTATTATTAATAATAGAAAATATCTTAATGTCACTTTTATATATTAATTTATAACTCAATAAAACTCAATAAAATTTTTGTAGAAATTCTTCTTCTCCTCGCTGTAATGTTTTTAAATTACATTCCACATACATATGACATTTGTAAATAAAAAAAAAAAAAAATTTTCTTACTTGTTTAATTATGGATTCGTATATATTTGCCTAAAATTATTAAAACTTTTTAAGAATATCCTTAAAAATACTTATTTCTTCAATGAGTTCATTCAAATTCTTCACTAAACGAAATATATTTGATTAATTTATAAAACTTGTACTGATCTTATAAAATGAATAAAAAATAATTAGTAATGAATTAGTTCAAGTGCTTTCAAACAATAAATCATGCGTTTCCTTCTAATACAAACTGAAAAAAGAAAATTGTTTTAGGTGTATTTGCACATTATAGCTTTTAAACTTATTATCAAGTCAATAAAAAAGGAAATTAAGATGAAGAATCTGTATCGCGCGTCACACGAAGTAGGTAAGATGACAAGTTCATTTGAATTTTTTAGAGAATTTCATAGAACAATATTACAATTTTATATGTAACATTATGCATATAACAATATGTAACATTGCAATACATAATAAACATAATATACGCTATAAATTATAAATTAAAGGCAGGAATCTTAAAATGCTCGGCTTGATATAGAGATGGCGCTATATGTATCAAATTACTTGTATTCTTCTGATTATAATTTAGTAAAATGTGTAATTGTACAAATGTAATTCTTATTTTTACCCAATGAAAAATTGAAAAATTGAAAGTAAAAAAAACTGTCACATTATATTGTCGATAAACTAATTTAACTTGAGTATTTTTTCAAATATAACAAAAAATATTTCTCAAATATTACGGCTAAAAAAATTGGTTAATAAATCATTTATATTAATAAAGTATTTGTAAATAATTGAAACAATTGACAAAACTAAATTACTACTAAAAATATGTGTAATAAAATTTATAATAGAATATTGAAATTTGGCAAGTATAGTGGAAAGAAAAAGTGGAAAATCATCGATCTCTTATTTACAATACAAATTTCAATTTAATTATAATAAATAAAGTTTTTTTTAATGTAACCAGTTTGATGCCATACTTTTAATCAATTTCTTTTTTATAAATTTCTAAAATTGTTTTAATTGACATTTTTCGTTATAAGTTTTATAATTAATTACAGGTGTGACTGTTTTATTAGATAATATAAGCGAAATTTTTAATCAGCTTGTCAAATGACATTACAATACGTTAATAATCGATAACTATTTTGTGTCTTATAATATATTTTATATAAAGCTAAATGAATTTTTATAATGTATTTTATCAATAACAATGAAAAGAAATCTATACAATGTGATATTTATATTCAATAGATATAACTACTTCAATAGATACATTACTACTACTAAAAACTGGGAATAGGAACATTGATATTTATAAATAATTAACAGAGAATATAATTTTATAAAATATGAATATTACATATAGAATAAATAATTATTATTTCAATTCCATTCTCATTATACACTAACAATTATAAACAATTTATTGATACAGAGAAGATAATAATATTAATAAATTATATAATAAAAAATGAAAATTCGTTGGTATGAAATTTTGTTTTATTTAATTGTCTCTTCATTCGCAAAAAAAAACACACTTATTTAAATTGTAGTGAAATCTTTTTAATTAATTTCATATATCTAATTTATTATATAAGTAAGAATATATTTCACACTGTCGTAGCCATTATTCTCCTGTGGCATAGTTCGGACAGTACTTTCTAGTACAAAGAGCCTCTCTTCCACTAGGTCCACAGAAACAATCATTACACTTCCAATAAAAAGGTCTTCCAGCTGGACACCGTTGCCCGTCACCCCAATTAACTAATATTTAATTTTATAAGAAAATATATCTCTAATAATTATTATAACAAAACATTATAATACAATAATAATATTTGATTGAACATCATATTAGGATATGTCTAATATGATATTATTATTATTATTATTATTATTATTCTTAGATTAATATATGTATGGGAATGAATAGTGTGGAATACTTGCCGATTTGTGGTATTTCAGGGCAACTTCTTAAGGTGCATCTGGGCTCGGCATCATTCGAATGACAAATGCATTCGTTGCAATCCAAGTAGAATCTCTCATACGGGCAGCCGATATTCAGTTCAACTGCAAAGGAATCGTTCAATTTAGGCTAATTTTGCTTTATTTATACGCCATTCTTAATCCATTGCTACATCAAGAAATATGCTTTTGAAGGATCTCTAATTAACAAATGGATATAAATTCTTACAGAGTCGTGGTACGTCATCGTAAGTATAGGGAGCAAGATACCAATCATCTCTACCTGCAAATTAATTGTCAAATAAATCATCATAATTTCGCTAAAACGCACTTTGTAATCGTGTTAAATTTATTATACAAAATATTTATTAAAGAACGATATAATCTAGGTACGTATGGCATTGTTAATATAGAATAATCGAACATAATAGTTGAAATGTATTTAAAAGAAATAAAAAATTACTGCAAAATTTTAGAATATAAATAGATTAATTAATTACCTGGTACTATAGCAAAAGCTGAATTAACAATTGCTAAAACTAGAAGTATTCGTAAGTTAGAAGTATAAATTCAATGATATAGGTAACATTGCGTATAAATAACTTTTCTTACAAATCAATTTATTCAAATTATCAATGATGGAAAATCCTGTCATTTTCGTTGGGTAATAATCTAAAATCTGTATTAAAAAGAACGAATAGATATGTTTAAAACAAATTAGAATAACACAAACATGCATTATAACAAAATACAATGTTTCCATGGCTTACAATGCTTCAATGGCTTTTAATCAAGAAAACTAATTAATAACTAATTGGCAGAAACTTTTTTGTCAATATATAAATTTACCTAGCAATTTTTTTATTTTGTGTAATTAAAAATTAATGTAATAAAGCTAAACCTCGCGCAACAACCATAAAGTTCAGCTATCTAACAAAATTCAAAACATGTAATTGTAATTCACGTACTATATTATATCAATATGTCTATTTTACATATTTACCTCTCTACTTTATCTTTATAAGTTAGGTAAAAGGTAAGTAATTCAATAATGAATGTAAGAATGAGAAAATCTGTGTGTATTGAATTGTCAAAATGACAAAATTTAAATACGTACGCTTTATTTGCGTTTTATTTATTATTATTCAAATTCCCATTACTGGGAATGTTGATAATATTATTATTTTTTTTTTTTTTTTTTTAAATCTTCTTAACAAAACACGAAAACATATCAATATTGATTAAAAATATTAAAATTTAATGATATTTTTTTTTTTTAATTAAAATACTAAAATAGATACATACGATAATTAATCCTTCAACACAGCAATTTCGTACGTCTTTCAACTTACAAACTATCAGTAGTATTCGTAATCATATAAAGAGAATCTGCTTTATATTGAATATGTACGTTGACGACTTTTTCAAAAAATTAAATATTTGCTGATAACATATTGTCCTTATCTAGAAATATAAAAAAAAAAAAAAAAAAAAGCAAAAGCAAAAGGCAACGATAAATATAAAAAGCGGTCATGGCCAATTAAGAAACTAGAGAAATCCTCGCTTTGCAGAATATTAACTAGGCGAATACGGCGAATAATAACATTGACAAGTTGCTCAATAAATAAAATTTCATGTGCTTATGTCATATAATTAATAACCACGTCACACAATTATGAGTTATATCCCATAGAAGATATATCGTTAATAAATGAATTCAGAGAAAGGCTCAATTAATTTAATTACAACTAACGTAATAATACTATTATTAATGCATTGAATGACAATTAAATTAATCATACATCATTAAACTCAGTCTCATGTAGATAAGATTTTTCATTAATAATATAATTATCAAAATTTACCCTATTTGAAGCTTATTAAATCTAATTATCTTTTCACAATTCATAATTCCAACGCTACACTTAACTAAGCAAATTTAATTTCTAATCATAAAACATTAATAATTTCATATATATATATATATATATAATGAATATAATTATATATCAGAAATACAGTTATAAAAGAAACATTTTTTGCTTTTCTAACACTGCTTTTCAAAAATTTAAAAATCTTTTTGAATACACATGAATGATTTTTCTAAAGTGACTTATTGTAAAACAAAATTTATTTTATACTATAATTAATGATAATTAATAAAAATTTTAAAACTTTACATAAAAAGATGTAGCAGAACAACTATGATAGTAGATGATTGTTGATAAACGTTCAAATGTTAAAATACTTAAATCATTGCACTGTATTTGATCTAAATATATACGTTGTTACTTTTACATAAGTGTAGTACTTTGAAAAAAATAATTTATATTCCCCCATTATAATAGATTAGAGATTAGATAATATATATATATATATATATATATATATATATATATATATATATATATATATATATATGTTCGAGGGTTTATATAATA